TTCTGTTTCTTTGCATTGGTCCTTGTAATGATTCTTTTTGTCTCTACATGAAGGTCACTGAACAGTTGCATTCAAGATTCTGACTTTATTTTTGCCACCTGTCGCTTTTGCATCTCACCTGTCCTTAGCAATTGTGAGCGTTAGAATAGCTAAAATAAGAGCTAATGTAACCTTTAAGAAATCTTTTTTAAAAAGTCTCTCTTGGTCTTTCTGAATCACTTACAAGAAGTCTCAAAACCTTGCATACTATTATTTGTAGTGGAGCTGATGCTTTCCATGTATGACGCACAGCTGCTGTCAAGAGAGGCACTGTCAGCTTTCAATATGCAACCTGTTTACCTTCCCTCTTTGAGCTGTTGAAATAGGACACATTTTTGTAAATAATTATGCTTCCTTTGGGTATTTTCACACCCTGTTGTGAAACAGTGCATTTTTGGGAAATAAGGAAGAGCAGCCTATTGAAAGGATGATGGTGAGCAATCCTCCAGATCTGAGTATGAGCTGTTTCTTTCAGCAAGGTGTATATTGGGACATGCAACTCAAGAAAAGGGAGCATTATCTGGCAGTGTGCTTCTTTTCCTCTTCCCACCAGGAATTAGCAGTTCTGGTGAACAATAGTTGTGGACAAGAATTTTAAAAATGCATGAAAGAATGGAAGGTGTGGTTTCTTACAGTTTTGTCACCCCTAAAATGGGAACTTACACCACAAAAACCAAAGTTCATAAACATTCTGTGCAACACTACTCCAGGGCACATTGTGATGCTAGCGGAATGCTGGAATGGCAACACCTTTTAAAATGGTGGCATGATTTGTATGCAAGATAAACATTTATCTAAACAGGCACAGTTGTAGCTGGACTAAAACACAGTTTCCAGCAACAAATAAGAGCAGTCAGTGACAAGTGGCCTTTAATGTACTTCGATGATGTACATTATGTGTGCAGGACATAAGTGTATCGGGGAGTCTAAAAATAAGCTTCTTACCCTCACACGGACAACTTGAGTGACTGAAGGTTCATTTTCCCGTAGAGCCCCCAAATACGAATCCTTCTGGAAGGTGGGGATATTGTCATTAACATCCAGGACATTAATACGGACTCTTCCTGTTGTCTCTTCTCCACCCCCATCTCTGGCTATGACGGTCAAGGTATAGCGTTGGGTCGTCTCAAAGTCCAGCCGGGCAATCAGGGTGATTCTGCCTGTGTCCTTGTCCAGTGAGAATCTGGAATTCGAAACAGAAGATATGTTTAAAGAAAACCATGTAAGTTATGCATTGGGAGCCCGTTGGGGGGAAGCAGCTAGAAAAGGAGAATGTTAGCCAGCAAAAAAAGAAAAAAAAAGAATTAAGTATCCCATCTCTTCATTCCAATACTCAAAATTGCCTCCGCTTGACACTGTTTTTCATTATAAAAACACACCTACATTGCAAATTTTAAAAGTACATCCTTGAATGTAGAGTGTTGTTTGCTGTTAAAAACCAATCTTAATCTTGCTTCCAGGAAAATGGATGGGGAGTTTGCTAAAGTGGTAACATGAACCTATACAGTGAACTGGAACTTATCTTAGTGTGGTTCATTTCAGACTGAACTTACTTTCATAGGCTTTCAGCACCTTCTTGGGTACTTCATGTTACTTCCTCTTGCTATGATCAGAATCATTTGGATGCAGAACAGAGAGTTTTATCAGCTGGTTAGTCTTCAAAGGTCTTGACAAGCACTGAACCGTGCCATCTTTTGGTACCATTTTCAGGATCCCCCTGATGCTAATTCCCTTCTAATCTGTTCCGCAGATTGTCTGAAGGTCCAAATCTTTTCAGATCGGTCCAATCTCAGACTTGGACATTCAATAAGCTAGGTGCAAGAAAGAGAGATCCTAGCTGTTCAGCTCCAGTGTTCGTTTGATATTTGAATAGCAGGTTCTTTTCCATAATTCACTGATGCACCAATGTGAAGTTTGCACTGATTAGGGAGATCCTGGAATGTGCCACTGATCAATGGCATTAATGGAGTGCCATATTCTCAAAGCATATAATGACCTTCACAGTGCAGATCATGCCCTCTGCACCCACTCTAACTCATGTGAATGACTGGGCAAAGGATGCAGAGAGCAAGCAGTGGTGGAAGAAATTCATCTCACCATGTAGACCAATCAGGCCTGGAGTCAGTGACTGGCCCCAAATCATCCCGTGAGTTTCATGGCCCAACGGGGACAAGAAACTGGATCTCCTCAGTCCTGGCCCAATCTTCTCACCACCATGCTACACTGGCTGTCCCAGAAACAACAATGGCAACAGAATAAGTAAGATGTTTTGTATCAGTTTAACACATTATTACCAATGACAGTCACAGTCACACCTACAATACCTACCTGTCGGGATCGTCGCTGAAATAATAGCTGACTTTTCCATAAGAACCTACATCATTGTCTGTTGCCTAAAAATTAAAAAGAAAAGGCAGTTCTTGTAATGGAGATATGCATGAGACATGAGCTTAACTCAAACCTTTTGTGGCATATTACAGTATACCCAGCTAATAAGAGTGGTCAAATCAAAATTTATCAGGCATAAAGCAAAATTATGAATACTTGTTTAAATTCTTGCTACCAGTCCAAGTTAATCCTCTACAGGAATGAAAAAGTGTAGCTTCCAATCTGAAATAGCACAGAAGAAGAAATTAAGTGTATTCTCGATTTCTTATTATTCTGTTCCTGGGTCCAAATTGATTCAGATATGAAAACTAAAGGGCTTCTTTCATTTTCTGCTTTGGAATTGTCTCACCTCTTAAAGCAATTGACAAAATGGAATGCCTGCCCTTTCCTCTTTCCTCAACTCCTAGAGTAGCGCTTCCTAACCTGGTGCCTCCCAGAAGTTTTGCACTGTAAGTTCCAACATTCCTGAGCATGCTGATTGGGGCTGAGACAGAGTGGAAGCACAAAACAACTGTAAGGTCTCCACTCTACCCTGAACAACTGCTAACAACATCAGTTGCCACCTACATATTACTTGCTGCCCATATGACATGACTGTTCTGTATGTAGAATGAATATCGTTGAGACACGGAGACTTGTCTAAGAGGCCAGGATCTGAGCTGGAATAATTACATTAGATTCCTTCTTCCAAGTACAGCACTATCTCAGAATGGCTTCTATCAGGATTATATCAAGCCAGGTAGGTTAGGCTAGGCATAGGCTAAAAAAGTCTACACTTGAGTGTTTGTGATCAAATATTCACTGTTACATCTATTATTTCCTATAATGCAGCAACCCTCAATTATTCCCTCCACAAAATTCACAAAATTTGTTGGAAATCTCAACAACAACAAAAAAACATACTGCCTTTTGCAAATCATGAACAACTACTCTATGTCAGACTTCCCCAACCTGGTACCCTCCACATGCTTTGGACTTCAAGTGCAACACCCCCATCCCCAGCTATCACGGTCAATGCTCCGGAATGTTGAGAGTTGTAGTCTGAAACATCTGGAGGACACCAGGTTGGAGAATTACTGGCATGAAAAATGTGCCTGAGTAGCACCTACATAAATTGAGATGTTCAAGGCAAAGAGTCATGAAGGCCCAGATGCTCAAAAATTTCAACTTTACACTCTTAAACAGACGGAGCATAAAGCTCTACAGACAGACATAAAGGAACTTAGGGTAAGAACTGTGACCCTGCTGTGGATGGAAGCGGCAAGTATTTATTCAGAGCAGCTGCCAATTCCAAGGGCCAATTTCATCTTCAACAGCATGTCAATGGCATAAACCATCCCCATGTCCCATGTGGAGAATCAATTCTCATGCCTCCAAAATAAGCCTTCCACAGGAATCAGAAAAAAGTTTCATGCACTTTTTTTTTTCTTTTTTCCTCCCGAAAAGTCACAGTATGGCTCAGGGAGAGGAGCTTTTTTAATCTCACAGCACACCTGCAAAAATTTTGATCTTTGCCTCCAAGATACTCATCATCAGATGTTAGGGCCTCCAGCAATTTTCTGTCTCCCTCTGCTGTCCATTTTTTTAAAATATTTTTTTTCCAAATCTTCTGAGGTTCATTTTTTAAAATCTTTTTTTGTTTGGCTTAGCAGTTGAAGTCAACCATTTTCTGATTTCTTCCTGATTTCTTTTTTGCATTTCGAGTTATACTGGCTGTGACATGCTGGGACTTGTAGGACTATATATATATATATCTCTTAAACCTATAGAAAACTGTGCCCTAACTTGGGAAAAGGTGGTCTGTAAAAGACAGCATGAAGAACCAGATGACATTCTGGATTCTTGGTACAAACAGGGGTCCTCTTTACCTGTGTGTGCATGTAGGGAGCACACTTGTGCAGACACGCACACAGATATCCAAGCACACAAGCATCTACTTGTATTTAGTACAAAAACCACATGAAATCAACAGGATTTGATTGAAGTAGTACAAAGGGTGTTGGTGGTCAGAAGGCTTTTCTGCCCACAACTTTTTTAGAAGTTCTAGAACTGTGAATTCATAAATAACCGGAAGGGACTCTCACTCTTAGCAGAATCTTTAGACCTTCATCACCAGGACAATGTCCTTGCAAATCTTTTGAAGCTGTGACAGTTTACAGAATCTGAGCATGTTTGAAAAAATAAAAATATCAACCTTTTCAGGAAAGTATAAAGCTTATAATGCCATTCTGGGTGAGCAAAGCAAGATTTGTAGGTGTTTTAAAGTCTTGGCTCTAATGAATATATAAAATATGTATGAATGGTAGCAAAGGCAAAAGGGACAACTTCGTATTTTAAAATGAGAAATCTGGAATAAAATCCAAAACTATCTTGTTTTTTTTAAACTTATTTTCTAAATTGATTTTTGTCGGAGCTTCTTGGAGGGTGATGGATGTGAGTAAAAAAACTGTCAGAACTCATTTCATGCCAAAAAAGGAGTGACATAGAATAAAACCCTATTGTATACCATACAAGAAAGGCCATACCTATTGTTTGAAGAGGCCACCCACAGCAGAATGTCTTTCTGGGCTTGTGTTACTGATGGTGGCAACTTTTGGCATAGGCAGCAGTGAATGTGGAAAGTGGAGTAAACAAATAGTGAGGCATGTGTTAGAAAAAAATATGGCAAACTACATTAGAGAATCTAGTGATAACTTGAGTATCTTTTTCACTTTGGTCAGTGCCATGTCTGCATTGCCTCTGGTTGAGCAGTGCTGTCTCAGAAAACATGTTGTGACATTTAATTGCATCCTCTGTGCATTTCTCTCCCTCCACAAATTCAAAAATTAAACCTTAATTCAGGGGTAGGCAACCTACAGTCCTCTGGATATTTTGCCCTGTGACTCCCATCATGGCCGATGTCCTCAAAATAACCATCAGGAAACATCTCATTCAACTATCACTTCCACATGGGTGAGCGTGTGCACACGTGCTTGTGTGCTTACTTGTACAGACACACCACAGTTGAGCAGATTCAAGAAAATTTATTTTCATGGTTTCATCTTGAAGTGGAAAAGTTGTGTTTATCCTAAGCAACTACCTCAAACAACAAAATACCCGCAAAACCTGGCCAAAGCCATTCTGATTATGGGCAGCAGAACGCAGAATTAACACTCAAACAACAATGGATACACCATGCTGTTTGTTTTTGATGGTATTTCGTTAAGGGGGAAAAGCTGATATCCCACATTTTAAGAGGAATAAGCTCTCACAGTTCCATTCAGACCCAATTACTTGTACAAAGCAATTAACTAGGGAATTACAGAACTCCAGAAGACATACCTCTAAAGTGAGCTTTAACAGGCCAGCTGAGGAAAGTTAATACCACAGATACAGCTTTAAGGAAATTTTTGCATTTCAAGGTCAAGTCAACTGATCTTTAAACATTCTTCACGAGCAACTCAGAAGACATGAACTTTGTTTGGAGGAGACCATGACATCTATTTGATTTCCCTTTCCTCTCCTGCCCTCCCAGCAAGCCAACCTCCCTCCTTTCCTCTCCACCCACTTTAACTCAACAATCTTCTGTTCAGCAGTTCTGCTGCTTGATCTGACAGGGGTGCCCAGCAGGATCCAATACACCTATCAATTTGCAACCATTCAATCCCATGCAGCAGACTTTCCAGGTGTTTACCTTGCCCTGCCAGCTGGAAGCTAAGAGAATTGCAATTTCCTTTTGGGTGGGTTATTGTCACAGTACGGCCTCACAAAATTAGACTTCAATTTTCATTGGCTCAGAACATGGCTTTGGGAAAGGGTTCCTTGTACTGGACAAAATGTGTTTCACCTCATTAGGGAGAAGGCTAACGATCTGGTCATGCAAGATGGCTACTTCCTCATGTTCATTCCTATACTTTCCTTTGGCAGATAACACTCTCAGGCTGCTGCAAGTTAATGTGTCTGGTTCATCAGATCATAGGTATCCAGATGGTCCTTCAGCCAAATAGTCCCTGGAGGCCAAATCCATTTTGCTTGCGTACTACTCTGTGTCATACTAATACTCTGTTTAAAAAGATAGTCCCAAATTTAGCAGAGCCAGGAGACAAACTCTAAATTCTCCATATTCTACATATAAATTATTAGAAAGACTATTTTGAAATCAGAGAACAATTCAGGCATAGCCACCCACCCTGTCCCTGTCCCTTTGTTCATTCCAGTTGCATTCATTGTTGGACACAAATGTACTTTGGATGCCAGCTCCAATGTGAAAAAGGTGGCAAGAAAGACTAACAGAATATGTTCCTCTGCTCTGAAACACTGGCTTTCAGTACCAAGGCTGGAGACAGACAATAGTTTTTAGGAGTGCTCAAGCTGAAGTATCTCTTCCCATTATGTATATACTTCTTTATTTTGTTCTGCTACTATTTCTGATCAAGTAAATTCTTAATGCACAAAAATAGTGAATATCGGGAATGGGCGACCCAGTGAATGTAAGTACATACAGCTTCTAAAACCTTGTTCCTTAGCAAGATTTAAAAGCAGGCACTAGTATAGTAGATATACTAATTAATATTTAGGATATTTCCAAGAAGAACCTGGGAGATGGCACACAGCTAGAGGTACTAGGAACAAAAAGGGCTGCCACATTTCACTATGGAATTAACAGCAAGCAAGACACATCCAGACATGTTGGAAATGCCCATGGTGCACAGTTCCACAGGTCAGCATTTGGGGAAATGCATCTTTAGATGTGGTCTCCTTTCTTTTATAAGACTGTACTGCAATGCTTCTGAATGGGATAGCTGTGTTCAGGATTGTATTGTAAGTTTTAGCCATTATGCTAGCTAGCTACAGTCCTCTGTGGACTCTTTGGACCTAAAGCCTCTTAACTTAATGACTCCAATGCACCGAATGCTCTTCAACATATCTAGGAAGCTTCAAGCTCCTTCAGAAGACTCAAGCACAACTTGGATGGGTACTCACAAATACTATATGAGCGCCACTGGTTGGTTAATTTGCTTCTAGA